ATGATGATGAGGATGGTGATGATGATGAGAAGGATGGTGATGATGATGAGGATGGTGATGATGATGAGAAGGATGGTGATGAGGATGGTGATGATGATGAGAAGGATGGTGATGATGATGAGAAGGATGGTGATGATAATAATGATGACGGTGATGGTGATGATGATGACACGATGAGACTCTGTCAAAGCAGATGGCGTTCAAGTCGATGATTAAATGCATTGCTATGAAGATAATGATGAAGATGATGATGAAAGCGTTGCTGATAATACTTAGTAAAATAATAATAATATTTAAAATAATAATAAATATAGTTATAATAATATTAGTAGTATAATAACATATATAACATCATCGCCAAATTTTTAATCATCATAGCCATCATCACCTGTGTTTTGAAGCCGGGTTTCTTCTTAATTTATTCTCTGTCTATGTTTTGCTAGAATGTCTTCGGTAGTAGTAATAGACTTAGTAGTAAATAAAACCCTCAAAGGGATGATCCTTACTAGATTAATTAATAGCAGCTGCAGTAGTAGTAGTATTAGTAGTAGTAGTAGTAGTATTGGTAGTAGTAATAGTATTAGTAGTAGTAGTAGTAGTAGTAGTAGTAGTAAAAAAGTTACGATAAAGGTATTAGTAGTAGTAGTAGTAGTAGTAACAACAGTAGCGCTAGAGGTAGTATTATAATTAATAATATTAATACTTTTACTGCTAATACTACATACTAACAAAATGATTATTTGTATGTTGACCCTGATACAAATTATTTTGATCAGTTAGTTAGTTAATTCTTGCAGTTTTTATAATGCTACCGATATAAATTCATTGTCATCCGATTTAAATGCTATTAGTTTGTTACATGTAAGCGCAAGAAGTTTATTTCATAAATTGAGAGAATTTTGAAACTTTTCTTAGCCAATTATTATTTCTCATTCATTCTAACAACGATTCGTCGAGTTATTTTTAAACCCTTAATAACATTACAAACACACGTAACTGCCTTAATGTCATTAGCTACTACATATATTCACTAAAAATAGTATTAGCAGCCGTAGTAGTAGCAGCAACAGCAGTAGCAGCAGC